GGGAAATAATTCCCAGTCAAGAATGCCACAAGAATGATGACGTACCAGAAAGATACTTAGGCGTATTCTTGTAATACTGGAGGTGAACAGCTAGGTGGCACTCAAGCTAGACACGGGGGATGGACGGTTGTCTTGACATTTGTGTTCACTGGACTGATCCCATGCGAGCTGAAGAGTACACAGTCCGCAAAGGTGCTGGAGGTACGCCTGGTTCCTAATCCCATCAAGTCAATCGGTTGACACACTTCGACATGTAGCGGGTTCTCGTCTGTTCTTGTGGACGTTGGAGACAAGGGAAAAGATAGTCAGTCCAACGGTGGTGTTACTGGCCGATCTACAAAAGTCTCAGAAGACCGAAAAGGGGACGTCGGTCTGTGAAATTGGGCACACAACAATTGGCACTTTGGGCCCTTCTCGTTACTCCCAAGCACAAAAGCCTAAGTCTGTCGGCCCGCCGAGCAACGAAGCCATATTCATCTCAGACCCCGCCCTACTAGTTACGGTTTAGCTTTTGTCAAAGACACGGGGCATCGGAGAGCAAGTAAAGAGTAATTCTGCCGGGGTCTTTACAGATGGTAGCTGACAAAGTAGAACTAACTCATTGTCAATGGGCTTTTCAGGCAATTACCATTAAAGACTTCTTCCCTAGATGCCATTTGAACTCATTTTCTGTACCCACACACACACACACACACACGCACACAAAGACAAACACATTCACATATAGATCTGTACGTTCATTCAGTCTTTTTAAGTTATTATCCATTTGTTCGCATCCGCGGTACTGATCCTATGTGCACATGTGTTCATATATATATGTATATATTGTCTGAATACTGTCAGAATATATATATATATATATATATATATATATATATGGGTGTGTGTATACATCAAAAGGCAGACAGACAGTCATACTGAACATATGGACATGCACATGACCCAAACGAATGCATGCATTTCTTCCTAGATATATTATTTATTTGAGTATAGATTGCATAGAGAGATTAGCCGGACAATCTTTTTTAGTCCCTTATGCCTGAATGTATTATAAGAATGGGCATCAGGGCTGGTGATGTCGGTCAAGTGGAGTACAGCGAAAGCCCATTTCCTTTGAACTGGAGCCAAACGAGAAGGATGTCTTGAGGACTCCGTCACTGCGAACATGCCAGGAAGGTTGAACAGTTAACCAAGTGAAATCAGCTTTAGCTTTCTGGGAATATCAAATAGTACGTCTCTATATTCTACATTTGTATACGAAATATAAATCAGATCAGAAGTAATATAGTCTTAGATAGCTTTAAAGCTTGTCCTGAGGATAGTTCATGACACAAATTCCACGCTTGAGGCAACGAACAGAAGAGTTTGTTGTGTTCCTAAGACGGACGTGGACTGTTTCTGAAATATAAAACGCTTGCCCTTCACAACTTCAAAGATGGAGGCCCCGAAACGAAGAGAGAAAGGGAACAAACGGTATTACATATTGTCCTACTTTGAAACGGCCGAATACAGTATGTGGTAGCTGACAATAGAAAGACAATCATTGAAATATGGCGCCGAATAGAACATTATAAACCCCGCGGGCCATGGATAAGGAAAAGAATGTGACAAATTTAAATAGAATGTTAGCTACTTGATATACTATTGAGTAGTTTTCCATGTCGGCTTCTGATTAGACAATGCGGTGCCAAACTTTAATTGGGTGACGCGAAATTTAGGCAAGATTAGTCACGTATTCACGTGATCTCTGGGCCAAAGGATGTTGAGCCATAGCTACGTATATAACAAAAACTGAAGATTGAATGGAAAGAGCAAGGGATAGGTCACTTCAAATTTTCGAGAAGGCTCCTCGTCTACGTCAGCTTCACAAATCCTGACGAGCCACAGTAATAAAGTCATTTGAGTTAGGTGATTCAGTAGTTTCAACAATAATAAAAAAGCAAACTGGACTTGAGAGGATTTGGAGAAAAACTCACATGCAACCCATTTTCGAGCTTTTCCATGGACCGACGCTGAAAGTCACTGTCATATGTGTAAAGCCACATGCAATGATGCTTAGGGAATACTTTCATTATGACTTCTTTGTGACTGAATCTTAATTTGATTGAAACCTCGTGCAATCTCCCCTGTAGTCCGTCCTCTATCATTGTT